AGACCATCAGGGGATACGGCAGATATTTGTCCCTGGGATATAACATCCCAGCTGGCACTGCAAAGACCATCAGGGGATACGGCAGATATTTGTCCCTGGGATATAACATCCCAGCAGGCACTGCAAAGACCATCAGGGGATACGGCAGATATTTGTCCCTGGGACGTGTCAGATCCGGACACAAAAATCCAAAAATCTCTACAGGCTGATATCTGTCCGTTGAAAAATAGCGAAAATGAAAATGCATCAGTCACTGAAAAGTCAATACAGAAGAATGGTTATTCAGAAATCTGTCCATGGGAAAACCACCATGAAGAATCTCAATCAAATCTGAAAACTGTCAATGCAGAAGTATGTCCCTGGGATGTTTCTGAATTACAGACAACACAAAGAAATCCAAGCAACATTGCAGAAATTTGTCCATGGAATTTGAAAGACAATGACTACACTCTCAAAAACACCTCGGAGTCCTTTACAGATGGTGTAAAACTGACAGAAAATAAAACACAACAAGAAAATTATGAAAATGTTTGCAACAGAGAGAACAAACAATTAGACAAGACAATAATGCAACATAGTGAAAATGAAGGAACAGATCATTTGGAAGAAGTATATTCAGAAAAAAATCCTGCACTGAAGGGAAATACTGTAGATATAAATTCTTGGGAATCCATTAGCACTAAACCTTGCCTTCTGAAACAAACAGCTATTCAGACATCTTCAGAAGAGGCAGAACCAGTACAGACAAGAACAGAAAGAGACAATTATTCTACCATCATTCAACCCTTTAAGAAAAATATTGAAAGCACATCAAAGACACAGGATGGCAATTGTGCTGACATTTGTCCTTGGGAAGTTATGGGAACGACACCCACTGTAGGGAAGCCAAACTCTTCTGTGTGTGTTATTGCTACAGTTGAAGTTATAGTAACAGAACCCCTTGGTGAAAATGAGGAGTCCCAGAAACCTATAATCTGTAATAAACAGGTAGAAGGAGGTCAGGAGTTTATCCCCCCGGCTCCCCATGATGCAATATGCCCCTGGGGGGTCCAGGAGGAAAAATCTCTCCTTGAAAATATAATTTCCCCAGATATTCCTTCTGGCCAAGGAGAAGAGATGGAAATAGATGCAGAGAGTGAGGCAGAGGTCTTCTATTTCCCAGAAGACTTATAAACTGCAAATCACCTTCTACAAGTGTCTGTATTCTTCAGAACAAGACTGCCAATCACAAAAGAGCATTAATGCTAATAACCACAATAAGAAGCTTTCCACAAAGATGCATGATTTTGATCACCTATTTGAGATCGGAAGACTAACACGGATGCTGTCCTCTTTATTATCTCACTTAAATTCATGCAAAATCGTAAGTAGTATGTCTTCCTTTAAATGTACAACAGTACTTTTGCTTAAGTAATATAAAAAGTCAAAAGACAGTGTTTGAAGAATAATTGGAACTTACCCAATAAAGTTGTTAGTGGGGTTGTTGAAAGTAGTAGTGACACTTGTCATTTTTAGCAATAGAAATAACAGAATATATATATATATACACAATAGGACCCCCTTGGAAAATTCCAAAAGGAAACAATTCTTTAGTTTCAAACTGCAGGCCAAGTGAAAACAGGCTGCAAGTCAATGAGTACTCATAACAATATATGAGTACCCATAACAATAGGCTGGTATTTTTTAATAAGTAAAATTTTCTCATTACAAGTTATGTACAGGAACATAATACAATATTTTTCAATAAAATGTGTAACAGTAGCCTATGTTTTTTCATTGTTTCTTCATTCTTTAATAGTATAAAAAGCATGATTTGCATTGCTCTGTCATCTCTTGATACATGATTTTTTTTTTCATTGCTATACCATCTCTTGAGAATTGGGCCAAAATATCAGAATCCCAGTAATTTGAGTGTGTCTGTGTGTGTGTGAGAGAGAGAGAGAGATCATATACATGAATATCATGATATATATGGGGTCTGCAGATAGTTCACTATTACCTGCGGTTTAGGCTATCCATGGTAGGTTTTGGAATTAATCACCCATGGATATGAGGGGACTACTGTATAGATACATGCATACATAAGTCTGGCACAAGCAGAGTATTGCTAAAAATTCATGATCATGTCATACTCAAGGGAATCCAAAATCCATACAAAATGCTTAGACCACAACTGAAAAAGAGAGGCTATATTTCACACTTTGGTTAAAATCACAAGTGCTGAAGCAGCTAAACTGGTATTATGGTAGAGGTGAAAACAATCAGGCAAGTTGAATAGCTCATTCAGTATTTAGGGGAGGGTAATTGCAGGTGATTCTGTGACATTGTTTTCATGTTGTGACATACGTTTCTCTTCAACTGATCAACTTATACATTTTAAAAACAGTCATTCATTGGGACCTGTTAAAACTATGAAATCCATAAACAGATCCCTCTCATAATGTCATTCATATATCTGTCCAGTTTTATGATTAAAAGCAGGGTTTTTAGGCACTGGTCTTGACACTTTGTAATGGTCAAGTCGGGATTTGTGGTGAGTAAGGTTGAGAATCCCTGAATTAAAAACATTTAATGGTGTTACAAACACGCCTCAGAAACTGATACTAATAGGAATACTTATATAAAGATTTTGCTATAACATTCGAATTTGCTCTGAAACAATAACAATAGCCCCATGATGGTGACAAGCACCAAATGTCCTGAAAGGGATTACATTGTTCCCAAAGAAATTGTGCATGGCTGTGCATTAAACATTCAGTACTTGCTTCATTCCAGAATCACTTTGACCATTTTGATTTACTACAAGAAAGTAAGTAAAATGTGTCATGGGAAAATGTCATGCAAGATTTCCAGTCAGGAGGAACTTTGATCATGTTTATAGTGGTGCAGAGAATGGATTTTGAGGGTTCATTAGCCTGTTCCTTGATCTTAGATTTGCATAAATTATTTTTTCCCAACAAAAGGGATCTTTATTTCTCATAGCTACAGCTTCTATTGAGGGGATCTCTTGTATGTCCATTAGTCCTGATAAGGAAGCCACAATAAAACTTCCCTTCCTGTACCATGCGGGTATCTAGTGGGTTTGTTTACTTTTTCAGTCAGGGAATTTCTGACAGTTAAGTATGAATAAAGCTACTTCCATGTGCTGAAATTAATGAATGAGCATTCACTGGTTTTGAATTTACTCCAACTGAGAATCATGCAAACTGCCTCAAGAACAAACATATAAACATGATGTTATGGAATCTTGACGCTCAGCAGGACTTGGTGTGATTCGCGTCAATCTCGCTACAAATGGATCAGTGCGACTCAGTGAACTAGGTGGGAAGGGCATTCCCCAGTTAGATGCTCTTGAATTAGTTGCCACATATTATGGGTTTGCAACAAGCGGATAGGAAACACGCCCCCAGGAGAATCTTGAGATTAGGGCAATTATTGTCAGGGGGCCAGAGTAGGACAGAAAATGGATGGATGGATGTTGTCACCCTGGACCAGTGTGTGATTCCATGGGTTAGGACTCTGTCTGAGATCAAAAAGAAAGTCCAACCTTGCCAAATCAGCCGCTGTGACCCTGACCAGGAAAAGTAGGATGAAGAGGATAAATGGAGCCACAAAGAAACTGAAATATACATCATTACCATATTTACAGGCAACAAAAGTTTGTTAACATATTTTATGAACATTTAGACATCTTTCAAAACTAGAGAAATCATGACAGAAAGCAAACGGCAGCAACAGATTTTATTGTGTTCTTAAAATCAGTTTTCTGTTTAACAGGGGCTTTATAACATTATTTTGACTTCATTACATTCCAAATAACCTACAAGACCATTTCTTTTTACAACACAATACCCAAGTAATTACGTCTGATTTGTTAAACTGTTATGAGCCTGGTGTACCTAATAAAGTGGCCAATCAGTATATACAGTACCAGTTTGCTTCATCTGTTCTCCCAAAGATGCCGTTTATTAAATATTACAGAATAAAAAAACACAGTCAATTAAAGTGGTGTACTGATAATGAATAATAAATAATCAGTTAAGTTTACATGCCGGGTCAGATATTGCAATATTATTTGTGTTTTTATTTGTGATTATTTACAAGATAGAAAAACAAGTATATGACTGCAGGAAAGACCTGCAGGCCTGGTCCCAATCTTTGTTGTGCTGTCATTCGGGCTGAACGTGAATTAGCCTGTTTAAAAATGAATCTTCTCTATGGCAAAGAGCATCTGGGGTGTCAAACTCCACTGCCTTTCCAGCATGAATTACTAGGACCCTGTCAGAGTCCAAGATGGTGTTGATTCTGTTAAAGGGATACGGTCTGTTTTACATTTTCTGAACAGGATCTCACGTGAAATATTTTTGTGAAAAAATGCCAGGAATAAATTATGAAAAACATATTAAGAATTTGACAACATTTTACTTGAGGGGGAACAAATAATGTAGTAGTACACTCTCACTTATTGTATTAATTAACCAGAAACTAAGTGTTAGTTACATACTGACCCCATGTATGTTTATCATTAGTCAATCATGATGGCTTAGGTGTTTCATGAAGTTACTCAAGTTAGTTTGTTCATGATTTGTACCTGAATAGTAACTAAGTTACTAAGTTGCTTGTGCCTCCTCAAGTAAACTGTTGCCAAGAATTCCATTAAACAAAATTGAATACATCTTTTTAATTATGGTGACATACCTATGAGCAATGGTGAGAACAGTTCTGTCTTTAAACTTCAGCCTGATAGTCTGCTGTAGCAACTTATCAGTCTTCTGGTCAACACTGGCTGTAGCTTCATCAATGCATAATACCTACAAAAAAAATTCAAGAGCTACATACATAAATACTAAACTACATGAGATCAAACCAAACATAAACAGGGACTAAGATTTGGTGGGTTGTTATTTTTCATGACATTACACTGCAGTATGTGGTGTTTTCAAACAGCGTCCGGGCGAGTTTGAAACCCACGATTTCAATGCAGTCTCTGGCTGTCTCTGTCTGCATATTTTCCCCATCTTTCCACTTCCTGCATTCAAAAAACATGTTGGCAGCCAATCTCACCTATTATAGTTCTCAACCCAGAGTCCATGACTTACTGCACTAGGCCTTAGAAACTACCAATGGGACCTTGTGCTAATGAACAATTTTAAAACTAACTGTTTGAAATGACTGAAATTACTGCACTGTAACATATGGAAAAAAGATTAAAACTATCCCAATTCTTTTTTTTTTCTTTTACTTTACTTCACTTTGATAAGTCTACTCTGCCTGCAAAACTACAATACGCTATATTTTATGTACAATATTGTACTGTATTGAAGTGCTGAACAGACCAAGGAATCGCAGCGACGAATGAAAACGACGGGAGGCAGACAGACACAAAGTTATTCTTCATGTTACTCCTTAAAGGGACCACAGAACAAGCAACAAAAACATGAAAGGCATGAATAGCAGGGAAACACGGGGAAGTTACACTAAGGACGGGAAGGCACACATGCGGCGGGTAATTACACAATGGCTAAGACACACCAGGATCAGACAAGAACTGAGTACAACCATAGTTGAGGGCACACACAACAACCAGATACACAGCACAACAAGTACCTACACTAAAAAATACAAATCAGGGGCTATATATAGGACATACACGGGGCTAAATACATGGGCTCACGAGACACGCAGATGCCACAAGCGCTACACTATGATACTGTATTTGAATTATACATAGTTCAGTAAACTAATTTGTACAGTATTGCTATTTGAAAAGCATTTGAAATAGCTGTACTGTATTTTGAAAGGTAGGTAGGTAAGGAGCATGTGCTTGACAGTGTGTTGCTGCACCCACTACATGACGAACCTCCTCAGGCATGAGAACCTGAGCGCAGCCATGTGGCAGGTGATAACTCAGCACCACGGTGGTTCGAATGGACCAGTGTGAGTTTTCTTCCGGTGGCTGGAGTGCCAATCCTGCCACCGACCCCCCAAGTTATTCCCTGTAAGTTGCAGGACCTCCTTCTAGGGCTGGATGTAGATTAACGTCACACCCAGGACCCAGGACAAAGCAATCGCAAGTTAAGGGCCTTGCTCAAAGACCCAACCGAGCAGAATCGCTCTGAGCATTTACAGGATTTGAACCACCAACCTTCTGGTTACTGGCACGGCAACCCTCA